TTTAGCCGGTGAAATTCAAGAGGAATTAAAAAGGCTTTTGACTCAAAATCCGGTTAATTTCTTAGAAAGTCATAAATATTTTTACATTTTGGAGAAAGTTGGGATGAGGCGAAATCGATTGAGGGATTGAGGGAGGGAAGATAGGTACATTTAAAAATGGAGAAGGAAATATGTTTAGTCATAATACAAAGTACCATTATCTGTAGCGTTTCAGGACCATCCTCAGTCGTTGCTGGATGACGATTTAACAATTGTGCGAAGAAATTTGGAGTCAAAAGGTCTGAAAGAGTTGCACAATGAACTTATTCGAAAACAGTGGAAACTTATTTATAGGAAGCATTTCCTGGAAAAACAATATCGGGTAATTTTTTAACATCAGTCCCCTCAACCACCGTGTTTTCACCTCGTTCCCTCAAAAATCACCCAACACTCCTAGGAGTCCTTTACTGCTGTTTGGCTATGCAAAATTTACAGCAATCATGCATGGTGTAAGTTAAGATTTCACGCGGCCCATGACGCAACACTACCGTCCCAGCCGACATCCTTTTCCTGTCGCATAAAAGAGAAGGCCAAAACACAACCAACATGAGTGTACATGTTAAACTGTAAAATAACAAACATTCACATTGTTAACTATCTGACTACTTCAAATTTAGTCTAAAACACATTTTCGCAGCGGATACCTTGATGTATGTTGCTATCCGGGTTGTTTCCCGCAACTATTGGTATAGTAAGTAACGGCCATTAGAAAGCTCAATCAGAAGTGGACAGTGAATTTCGGACGGCCGAAGTGGGTTAAATTGATAAAAAAAATTTTTTTGGGGCCGTCGGTAATTTCTGAAGTAGCGGCTAGTCCGAACTGTGGAAAATGCGGAGTGGCCGAAATCCTTAAATTTTAATGTGGGATGAGATTAGTTAATGGATTATGTTGGGAAAGATAGCAGGGCTGTTAATGTGGCACAAACCGTATGACATGTTGAAGAGTTATGTAAAGAGAAATATGTGGAAGTTGGTCTACCTGTGTTTCATCCCTTAGCAGTAAGGACAGAAAGTATTAGGTACGACTAGGGGTAGGAATATTTTTTGTTTTAAGGAACCATTAAGGTTTTTTGTTAATTTTTACCATATACGGCCAAGATTAGCTAAATTGCAGACAGCGATTGAATGTCAAGACTTTTATCCGCATTACAAACGTGGGTTTGACGACACAGAAGTTGACTGCCAAGCAGTGGTGCTTTTCTACAGAGTGCAGCGAATGCTGGATTTAACGTGCAATGCACTGCGTCAACAGATAACGAATACGGAGCAGAGGAGGCTCGAAAAAGAAATTAGGGTTAGTTTTTACCGTAATTTTTGACAAAAATCTCATCTCCAACTATTTTTTAACAGTTTTCGCATATGTCGTCTTGTGAGAGATCTTCCCTATCCCCTTTCGCGTAAAAGCGAGTTGAAACCAGGAGAGGAGTAAAACCCGTCACAGACAAAAAAAAATTAATCACAAAAAATTACAGTTGTGGGACGCCGGGTTTTCATAGCGTCCCACCACCATCCCTTCATCTACGGTGCTTGGGTATTGATC